GTTTGCGGGCTCCTCATCTTTTTCATTATTAGATGAAAATAATTGGAATCCCTTTCCTCAGTATTGTTTATTCTGTTCAACTCGAACCCTTCTTTTTTCGTTAGGTTGTGAATAGTCCACACTCCAAAACCGAGCTCAAGTAGAAGGATTAATTCATTAGTCGAGGCAAGGATCTAAGACTAATGCCTTTTTTTTTTCAAGATAGTCAGTTCAATAGCTGCAACCTCAAAAACGGGATTATGTATTGGGAATACATAGCACTCAGCTGATGACAATATTGATACATGAATTAAATATGTAGCCTTGGAAATTTAAAAAAGAAAAAAAAAAAGAAGAAGAAGAAGAAGAAGATACATGAAGGAATGAAAATGGTCTAATTTGTTCATTCTTCCCCGACTGATTGGTGTATCTGTGAACTACCAGCCTCTTTAAACCTGCAAGATTCAACTTAAGGAGATGTCGATGTTTCCCGAGTTGTACTCGAAAAGGAATCTGATCTTCCAAGGTTGCTCAATTCCTTCCCTTTTGAATCAATGCTCAGATAATCTGTCAAAACCTTTTTGACGCCAAACCCGCGAAGGGATAGCTTGTTGCTTTCGATGTATGGAGACCTATCTCCATTTGCAGGACTTAAGTGCTGTGCAGGTGAGAAGCTCGGCGTTGCAAAAGCTGTTTTGTACGGTGTGCTGGACAGGGCTGGGAGTCTAATGCCAACACTCTTATGAGCGATCATCCCGACGTTTGAGACTGGTAAGAGCTTATCTGAGTGTTTAGTCAAGTCGTCCACATAGAGTAGGTGATCTATACGTGACACAATATTGAATGCTAGGCTCTCCAGAACTCTTGAGTAGCTCTCTAAAATGGATTTGCCGACATCCTAAAGGATGACATGTATTAATAATGGTAGATGGCTTAACATAAAATAAGAGGCGTTTAAAGAAAGAAATCCACCAAATAATGAGACGAGGCTTCAGGTTTTAAGTAAAACCTTATTATATTGGATTTTGCTCATATCCAGAGAGGTCTGAGGGAGACCAGGAAATCGTAGCTTCAAGCATAGAAGCAGGCTTTCAGCTCTGCCTGCAAGCAATTCTCTCTTATCTGCATCAATCACAAAATCCTTGACCATTCCCCACGATGACTTTGAATTGGATCGTTGTGCCCTTTGTAATGGTTTTGAGTTTGATCTTCTGTGCCACACATGGATTGTGGCCTCAACCCTGTTTGCAATTTCTAGAGCATGATGCTCAGAAGACAAATCAAGACAGTCGAGCAAACATTCTGGTGAAAACTGATCTGAATTAATGTAGCGATAAATAAGATCCCCCAAACTAGCTTTTCCATTCTGCCACCATAACAACCACCACAATGATGGAGAATGAGTAAATAACCTGCTCTTTTGAACACATAACAATAGACTTTAATGTTTCTGAGCATGATTGGCAGTGCTTAAATCTAAGTCAATCTTGTTAAAAGGTTATTTCGCCAAACATGATTTTCAAAGTAATCATATTTTACTAATAAAACTTTGTTTCTAGATAAGTAACTCTTAGGCACAGCCAAACAGGCTCTGAGTGCCTCAATACCTTAGGAAGAGCTTCCAGATATGCGTCGGGAATATCCATTTCAGCTAAAGCAGAAGTGTTGATAGCCAATGCAGCTTTAAGAATTTGGTTTGTGCAGTCACGACTGTGCTGTAACCTCTTTCTTGCTTCTTCACTGAGGCCACCAGTTGGGACACGAGGAACCGGAAGCCACCATTTTTCCTCTTGATGGGGAAGTGGCATGCGGAAAGAGGACGCTCCATCAGCTTCTGGGGCTGAAATACCATGGTCGACATACCAGAACTCTGAATTTTCGAAGCTGTCTAATATTTCCTATAAAACAATGCTGAAATTTAGAATAAATGTTATATTGTACAGGTAATCAATCAAGAAGAAAAGCATCTTACAAGTAGCATATTGTCTAATTTCCGTAAAGCTGGCAGGTTAATGTATAGATCTGACCGGGGTCGGGAAGTCATGATCTGAATCAAAGCATTGACATAAACATGTTACAAATTCCTAACACTAAAGAAAAACAAAGCTATCTTTTTCATTAGCCATACAAACCAAATGCATAATACTGATACATCTTAATCGAGTGTATACTTGCAAACCTCGAGCAATTGATGTAATAGACAATAAGGCAAAAAGATATTGAATTTAATTGTTCCAAGTTTATTAAGATACCTCAAGCTTGCTTCCATCTGGAAATGTCTGCCAAGAAGGTATCAATTCAACAACATGATCGCTAACACAAAGAAGCCACTCCATTTCCCTTCTCCACATCAGTTTCTTCTCAGATGGTAAAGGTTCCAATCTCCAAATTTGCCCAAAAAGTGTAGCTAATAAAACCAATAAAGCACATGTTGCACACACTGATCATAATCGAATTCATTCCAATCTCAAATTAAGCAACTTGTCAACTAATTGATATTAATTTAGTGTTTATGTAACATACCACAAAGATTAGTAATTGCATTTGATATAGCCAGAGCAGTAC